TGTGCTTACATACACACATACATACATACATATGTTGATGAGTCGTAGTAATTTAGAATATTGCTGTGCAGAARGCGTTTAAAATTTGGTTGATAGAATTTTTAATCGAAAATCAAATATTTCAAGAAAGTGAAAAGCCAGTGAGCCAGAAAAGGACCAGCGAAAGTGCGCAGAGAAAGTGAAATAAGTGAATTTCATTTAAATTAGCCAAAGGCTATGTGTGTGCTGCTGCTTTCCCTAAACGAAAGCTAAGAAATTTAATTTCTGCGTCTGACGTGCTATCGACAACTACAAAAAAGAAAGAAATAACGTAAAAAAACAAAAACAAAAAAAAAAAACAAAAAAAAAAAAAAAATGAAAACAAATTAATTCCACAACAACATACGGTAGATGGCGGAAAGTGCGTGTGATTGCTGTTGGTTTTGTTGCTGCTATTGCGTGACTGAATGCGTGCAACTCCACAAATATTCAAGACAAGTGTAGGACCGAGGCGCGCAAACCCGCTRCAACAGTGGTTCCCATTCTCATTTACATAGTCATATTTGCTGTYCTTGCTTTCAGWGCTTGAAAATAGCGAGAAATCAAATTCTTATCAAAAACATGTGCGAGTGYGTGTGTTTTGTGTTGTTGCTAGTTACCTTGGCCTTGCAAGAAGCAGCAYAGCTGAGCTACCACTGCCCACCTGCGCTMGCTGTCGCCTCCGTTGGCGTAGTGTTTTCGAAAAGAAATTCTATGTAAAAGAATGGTGAAAATTTGGTGACTGTCCCGAACAGAAATGTGACAATTTTCGACAGTGAATAGTCTGGCTAAAGCGAAGCTTTGTTCGGGCAGTTGGAAGTTGACAAAACTCATTAAAAAGTTTACAGCGAATGGAGAAATATGAAGGGCAGTGAAATGTTTTTGGTGTAAATAAGAAAAAATAAGCCAAATTAAATTATTAAGGAAAAAGTTGAGAGTGTTGAAGCTTTTGGTGAAAATAAAATAAAATAATACAAAATATAA